CGATGCTTTTGTTTACAGTCTAGCAATCATCTTTGACCTTTATGCATCTGCTTTACTGATTGGCTAAAAATGACATCACTACTAGTATTTCATCATGCAGGTCAAATCGTGACATTGCTGTCTTATCAGACTTGACGCTTATTAATCATGGTGAAAGTTATCATTCAGCAAGTTTCGGCCATTGGAATGTCTCACTATATGGATATCGCGGTGGACTTGAAATAGGAAGTTTTTTTTTTATGCAACGACAGAAGAATAGTTTTCATGACAGAAATGCAATAGCGGTGATAAAAGATGGTAAAAAAGTTGGCAGTCTTCGGCGTGACATTGCAAAATTGCTGGCCCCAGTTATGGACTCGCAAGCTGCTACAATATATTTATAAAGCCAAAATAACGTGATTTCAACCATTCTCCCAGGTACGGGTTGCTACAGTATTGCAACATTGTTTTCATTGTCGTCGACGCTAAAGCCGAACGAGTGCAACACTTGCTTAGCGGCTCTCCTTATACGATTCGCTTGAATCGTTTCTAAGGAAGCACAAACCAAACGGCCCATTTTAGGGCCATGACATATTTCAAAAAGAGAACTTCCGTTTCTGCTTTAATATTTATTTTTATAGACTTGCTGACTGTTATGATTCTGAAAAAAATCAACGGTGAAAGCGCTGCCCTGAAGGCAGAAAGCTGTCACAGCTATTTAGCGTTCACCCCTTGTTTTACGCAATTAACAATTTTTATAAATATCACGACAGACTTCAAGAAAGTCAACTGTTAATACAACCACAGTCAACGAATAGAAAATAGTTTTTTTGTTTTTTGTTTTGTGTATATAGAAAAAGACCCCCTGGGCGTGTGCCCGGATATGACCTCAACTTCTTTATTGTGTCAAAAGTGGGGGGTGGACGTTGGGCTCTTACCCGGATAAGTACGGTAATATCATATATACTGTAATATCAAGTTATCACAAAGTCACATGTAAGGTAACTTACTTTTCAGAGAGTTGTCCTTTCTTTGGAATATGATGTTCCACTTGTGGTGCTAATTCTTCTGGCATACCTTGTAAATACGGATTAATAGGAGGTGGTCGCCACCAAGAACCATTTTTAAACATCCGAAATTCATCAGTTCTCCATCTAGTCGGTGTTTCTCCCTGTAATCAAATACACAAAACATAACATAACTATTACATCCCTATCCATTGAGAATCTAGATTAAATAATAAATGGATGGATGGATACAAAGTTGCATGATTTTGCCCCTCATAGAACAAGGCATTCTTAATGAAATAGTACTGTCCCTGTTGGAATTGATGGAAATGTTATTCATGCCAAAAATAAAGTAATATGCACCAAAAGCATAGATAGTAATTTAGAGTGAATAATTGGCGGGTCTCAAAAAGAAATTAGATGTATTAAACTCTTTCAAAATAAAAACATATGGACAGAAATTAAACAGAATATGCTATTCATGCATTTTTTGTATCTAAACTGAATTTCATTTGTCCAGGCCCATGTACAGTCAGCCATTTTTGATTCGATTGAGAAACGAATAGTCAGACATGCATCATAACGTGTATAATGTATGTACCAAATTTGAACAATTTGGATTGAATCAGTAAACTACTTCCTGTGCATTTGTCACAGATAAAGTACTAGGTGCATTCAAATCATGAACAGATTTGGTCCACAGGGTTCTGAAATATGATTTTGGACAGACAAATTATAAGTCACTGTTTAGCAGTTTGTTCAAACGGGAACTGATAACAAAATATGAATTGAATAAAGTACTCAAATAATAGTACAGTTGTTTACAAACATCTAAATGACAGGTCTTGAAGGGCATACATGTATTACATCTTGTTTTACAACCATACACTTGTACTGTACAAGTCTGCTTTGAATTACTACCATACACTTGTATTGTACAAGTCTGCTTTGAATTACTACCATATACTTGTATTGTATAAGTCTGCTTTGTTTTACTAATATACACTTGTACTGTATAAGTCTGCTTTGAATTACTACCATACCTGTAGAATGGAGTAAAGCCTCCATCTGTAGTAAACATGTGCTGGACTTTGATTTTCAAACAAAAACCTGAAAAACAAAATATGGATGTCAAATACTGCAACTCACTTGAAATAATCCATACATTTCAGATATGGATATCAAGCACTGCAACTCACTTGAAATAATCCATACATTTCAGATTTGGATATCAAGCACTACAACTCACTTGAAATAATCCATACATTTCAGATATGGATATTAAGCACTACAACTCACTTGAAATAATCCATACATTTCAGATATGGATATCAAGCACTACAACTCACTTGAAATAATCCATACATTTCAGATATGGATATCATGAAGCACTGCAACTCACTTGAAATAATCCATACATTTCAGATATGGATATCAAGCACTGCAACTCACTTGAAATAATCCATACATTTCAGATATGGATATCAAGCACTGCAACTCACTTGAAATAATCCATACATTTCAGATATGGATATCGAGCACTGCAACTCACCTAAACATGGGGTTATTGATTTCTCTGTTCATAATCATAGCTTCAAACATTGGTCCTTCTCGTACAACAAATTCTATCATACGATGGATTAGCTGCAATAATGGCCTGAAACACACAATGTAATTCATAAAATAGCATAGACAATGCACAGTCTCCATTTATTTGTAGATGATCTGTATTCAGTTCAAGTAAAACACACGTGTCTACCAACAGACTCTATGTTCGGTTCAAGTAAAACACACATGTCTACCAACAGACTCTATGTATCAATTTCAATATAGAATGACTTGAAGTAAAATGACAAAATGTTGTAATTTATACGATGAAACATGGGGTTGGGATATCATTACACAGGTGGGACAAATCACAGTACCAGATGGAGAGATGGATTCCAAAGGGTCGGAAAGATCACATCATATGGTCGAAAGATCATGGTAAGGGTGGGGAAAGTCATCTATGCATACAGATTAACCATATATATAAGTTGGACAGTAATGACCTAATTAGAATGGAGAAAAAAATATGCAAGTTACTCATGACTCTTTAAAAAAACATTCAAAAGCTGTTGAAAAGTAGATACAGCAACACAGAAACAAATGTTTAAGTTTAATGACCTGTATCTTTTATTCACAAAGTCAACATTATTTCTATCATGAGCTTCAACAAAATTTACCAATCAACCTGATTAGAGTAGTTAATCTGCTTGAAAACATGACTGAACATCCCTCCCAATTTTGCTTAATGGTTTAGCCAAAATTAATACCACCACTGTCGACAGTCAGTGAACAGTTCTAGTAGATATTTGTTATTCATTCATTCAAAATGTTAAACACTGAACTTATTGAACAACAAGTCATTGTCAATGACACGTCCCCGTTCCGTTGATATTTGAGTGACATATACATTCAAAGCAGCAACAATATGGATGTTGAACTGCATTCAGTAAAACAAAATAGCCACCAGTCAGCCATTTTCAACACAATCCAAAAAAATTTAAACTAAATTTGCCCACGCATGACTAAGATTCAGTTCCGGTATGGTGAAAATGTGCAATTTTGGTGAATTTTTGACCTTAAAAGGACTGGCCCAAATGCACAGGCATATGTATGATATAATGTATGATGTGTATGTGAAGTTTGAACTTGATCTGTCCAGGCATGTCCGAGATATGGATCGAAAACTAAATTCTTTAAAACAAAATGGCTGCCAGTCGGCCATTTTGAACTTGATCCAAAGAAAAATTGGTGTGCATCAAGCTTATATTATGTTTAATATATGGACTAAATCTGAACAAAATCCATCCATGCATGACTGAGATCCGGTTCTGGAATTGTGAAAATACGTGATTTTGATGCATTTTCGCCTTAAAATGGCCATCATTCAGCTATTGTTAAGCGGATCATGAAACAAATTTATTTGTGACATTATGTACCATGTGTGTGTGAAGTTTGAATTTGATCAATCGAGATATGTCTCGGATACGGATCCAGAACTGAATTCTTTAAAACAAAATGGCTGCCAGTCGGCCATTTCGAACGTGATCCGGGAAAAAAAAATGAGGTGCATCAAGGTCCTATTATGTTTAATGTATGTACCAAATTTGAACAAAATCCGTCCATGCATAACTGAGATCCGGGTCCGGAATGGTGAAAATGTGCGATTTCAATGCATTTTCGGCCTTAAAGCGACCGCCATTTGGCTATCGTTAATGAGATCATGAAACAAATGCACATACATATTTGTGACATG